ACATAATCAGAACAACAGCTTAAGTACACATGGCCACCCAATTGCAACCTGTGAAGCATCCTCAGAACTCTTTGGCATCCTGTATAACAAAGAGGGACATTACACAAGAGTGTGTCATTTTAAGGCAATGGCGGGGGACCTCTGGCTCTCTAGATGTTGGATTTCAGCTCCCCTTATCTTGGATCTTTGACTGGGCTGTCTTATGGCTGATGGAGGTTAGAGTCTAACAACATCTGGAAAGCCACACATTTCTCCCACACTGAATGAACACTGATGAGCAGCAGAGAGCCCAAAGCTGTTCCTGGTGTGTGTGTGTTTTTAAATCTTTTCTACCCTGCAATCTCAGCAGTGCTGTAGTCATGGCATACATGGATGAAGTACTGAGGCCCTTTTGATAAACAAGGATGATGAGATTATCTCCTATGAAATCAAAGTTTTCTGTTCTCTTTGGGCTTAGCTAAAATCCTCCCAAGAACAAAGCAGGAGAGGAAGAAAGAGAGTGGATTTTCCCAGTTATGATATACTGTTGTGAGCTATTCCTGTTAGAAAGTAAAGTGTTTGGGGTAAATTGGTCTTGAATAAGCAAGAGCCACTGGCTATACAAAAGACCTATCTCCAATGGACCAAAAAGCAGTTAATATGTATGGATCAGTATATCTAGCCACATTTTTGTATTCTCATTGGGAGCTGATTCCGGGTACTTTCATGCTGATAGCCTCCCCTTCAAACTGTACAGCCACACCAGTGAGCCCCATTCTAGTGGATCCTAAGGGATGAAGCCCACATTCATTTCTTAAGGGGAAATAAACCCAGAACAATACTGAAGATAACATACAACAATTTGACAATATAAAAAGATCCACAAAACTCATTCAAATTGATAATGCCATTATCTCCACACACACCCCATCCCATATTATCATTCCAGTATGATTTGAAAGAGAAGAGAAACCTCTTTGGGCAGAAGAAGGATTACTGGGACTTTCTGAGCAGGGTCTTGACAAGACTGCACAGTGGAGTCCATGCAGGATTGCAACATGTCACCTCCCTGGACAAAGTAAGATGGATTGATATGTCTGCCCTGCTCAGGGGCTTTCTGTATACTAACATGTTGTTGTGTGCCTCCAAGTCATTTTTGACTAATACACATCATAAGACAAACCTAACATAGGGATTTCTTGGCAAGTTTCTTCAGATGGGTTTGCCATTGCCATCCCCAGAGGTTGAAAGAGTGTGACTTGCCCAAAGTCACCCAGCAGGTTTTTATGATCAAGCAGGAAACTGAACCCTAATCTCCACAGTTGTAGTCCAAAATTCAAACCACTTCACCACATTGGCTGCCTTAACAGCACATATATATCTGATCTGGGAAAGGAAGAAGGGTCTTGGATGGAATAGCACCAAGGAGCAGATTCCCAGGAAAGAATCCTGCTTAAAATCTTGGAGAAGAGCTGCCAGTCAGTGTTGAGAATATAGTGCTAGTCTGAGCAAGAGCCGGCTTGATGAATCTATACTGTAGAAATAATGCGGTTTGATACCACTTTGAGTGCTGTAGCTCCATCCTATGGAATCCTGGGATTTGTAGTTTTACAGTGTTAGCTGTCTCTTCTGAAGTTGCTGGTGCCTCATAAAACTACATATCCCAGTATTCTGCAGGATGGAGCCATGGAATTTAAAGTGGTGTCAAACTGCATTATTTTTACAGTGTAGATGCACCTTAAGAATCATAGAATCTTAGGAGATTATCACACTTGTAAAAAAACTTGGCTTACCTTTCCCGAGTTGAATTTTAATTTGGGAGGCAGCCGGGTCTTATCGCACAGGTTTTGCCACTGAATCTGCCAGCCGAATACAGCCCAGCTGCATCCAGGGTCCCAGGAACACTCAGCAAGCTGCTTTCCAAAGTCAGGAGTTTTCCGACTTTAAAAAGTGCTTGCTGAGCACTCTTGGGATCCCAGATGCAGCCAGACTGTATTTGGCCAGCAGATTCAGTGGCAAAATTTGTGAGACAGGACCCAGCTGCCTCCTGAATTAGAATTCAACTCCAGAGAGGTAAGCTGGGTTTTTTACAAGTGCAATAATCTCCTTAGAGTGGAAGAGGCCACATGAAGATACTTGCCATAAAGTGGTAGAATTCAAAGATATAGCCATCTTAGTCTGTAGAATCAGTATGTAGAGAGATCTTGTAGCACCTTTGAGACTAAAAGAAAGAAGTCGGCAGAGTAAGCTTTCGTAGACAAAAGTCTACTTCCTCATGCATCTGAGGAAGTAGAGTGAAGTCTACGAAAGCTCATGCTGCCAACTTCTTTCTTTTAGTTAGTCTCAGAAATGCTACAAGATCTCTCTACTTGTTATAAAGTGGTTTTCTGTGACCCCAAGAAAACTTGTATCACTATGGCAAACTTCTTTTTGGCTCATTGACACAGGGTATTGTCTTATGGGAAGGGGGATTAAAATGGAATATTTAGTAAAATGTGTTTTCTTAGGTGTCATTTCTTCTTTTTTTTAAAAAAAAAATTAAATTGAAAACAGAGACACAGCCCAGATTCTGCAGGATATAAATCAAGGAAGTAGATAAACAACCCAGTTCAGAATGCTGAGACATGTCTTTAACAATATTTATTGGGTTTGCACTGAAATGAAAAGCCAAAATCCAAGGGAAATGGAGTGGAAAGGAGAACGTGGTTAATACTGGCTTCATGCTGGCAACAGACAGCCATTGAAGAGGAGGAAGTGGAAGCAAGGTTGGACATGGATTTGGCTAGAGCCCAACTCATAAGAAATTTATCTGTGGTAATTTGTCTGAGATTTTTGAAAAGGTAAAATATGGTTTCTTATGGTCCTGTGGCTGAGCACAGAAAAGACGGGGAAAAAAATAGGTTGCGGAAAAAACTGTATGATAAAGATTTATTGCTCAGGCTGATACTCATATTGAGAACTCCTAGTGGCTATTTGACAGAGTTTGTAACCTTACTTCAGGACTTTGGCCATAAAAATTATGACATTTTCTTTTAGAAAAAAGGACTGTTTTTTCAGTGAGATAGAGAAAAGGTATCTCAGAGTTTTCCTCTGCTCTGCTTTTTAAAACAGGAAATAGTCTCTATGGTCTACTAAAGGCATCCTTATAAGTGACAAATTTTTGATAATAGTGCCTATCACACATACATATACTTTTTTGGGAGGAATGATATCATCTGAACTTCACTTGAATTCACTTCCCTTCTCACTTTAATTTCTTTCTGAGCAAAGTATATGATAAAACATGGGTTTGTTGTACTGAATTCCAAAATCTTGACATAATCATTCAGTCCACAGTAAAACTACCTGGTCTTAAATGGTGAAAAAATGAAGTTAACACGAGGCATATCTCTTGGGGGAAGGTATTCCAAAGCTGGGTTGCCACCACAAAGAAAAACCTATATAATGTCATGATTGCCTTCTCTGAATGGTGGGGTAGGCCTCCCCTATTTCCTTATCTAAGAACATGGGTAGGCTAGTAATGAGAGGGGTATACCTTTAGATACCAGAGACCCAAGTTATTTAGGTCTATATAGGTGAGCACTATCACCCTGGATTCACCCCAAAAACAGATAAACCATTCACAAAGCTCCTTCAGGGCTTATGTCTGTAAAAGCTATTAATGTAATCCACAGCTGACATTCATGCCATCCTGCAGATGTTGTTGGACTACAGTTCCCAGCATTGTATCATGAGTGAGGAATTGTGTCCAATAGTGTCATGCCCACATCCTGCAAGATTCTCAAATGCTTGCTATGGATGATGGGAGTTGCAGACCAGCAACATCTGGAGCAACACATGCTCTAGCCTCTGCTATGGAGTTAAATAAAACCCACAAGTTCTGTCTGCAAGGATTAAGCAAAGTTTTTTAAAAATATTTTTAAAGAAACCAAGAAGCAATAAATAAGCCATTGCTATGTGAGAAAGTAAAACTATGGAGAAAGAAAACTGTAGACTTGTAATTTCCAACTGTTGTGTAAAAAAGAAGTGTGGATGGACTTGTACAAGGAACTGGGTGTTGTTAATGAATAATTCATGCACTGTCAGCAAGTGGGGGAAGTTTTTCAAAGCATATATTTCAGCTAGGTGGAGTAGAGACATTGTGAATGAAGAATACTATAGCAAATAGAATGACATTATTCTTCTACTCTTGAATGTACATCAAAGTGTGCCTCTTTTTGCCCCAGCAGCTGAAAACATCTGTGGGGAAAGGACGTGCTTTCATCCGCTATTGCCTGGTCCATCAGCAGCTGGCAGAGACCTTGCAACTTTGCTACATGGAACCAGAAGTCACTAGGTAAGGGTTCTCTGAGGTGAAGGAAGACTATGGTTTAGGAGAGAGAGGTGATGTTTGGGACACAGGATGAGGTTGCATGCTCAGGATCATGGTGCAAAAGATAATGAGGCAAAGAATGTTAAAGTGGATATGATGAATGAGAAACATGGAGGACTCTTGCATCCTAAGGAAGGAATGGGATTCAGACACAAGGACAGAGCTCAGCAGAAGCAGTGCTGTTACTAAATGTTGGAGTCTAAAGGTGGGGCCTTAAGTACTAGACTTGGCTCCAAGCAAGGAATAAAATGGTGGCCCTCTTCTGTATACACAAACTGAATAGACTAGCTGCGTAATCTTTCTTCAGCATAGGCTATGGAGCAGCATCCTCCACTATACCCTGAGGTACCAGCTAGCTTAGGGCATATGGGACAAAAATCACCTTCTGATATTTCACTGCCTTGTCCCAGCATCTGCCATCCTGCAGTGAAATAGAGGTAAATTTAAATGTGCAAGCTTCATTGTAACAGTAAATATAGCAACACCATGAGTAAAATGGGGATCTATCTATCTATCTTTTAAAAAATAGTAGTTTTCATCTCTATCAGAAACTATTTTTGGTAAAACTAGAGGGTTTTAATTGCCCACTGAAAACCACGCCATCCCAAAGTACTTGGGATTATGGGAAGGAGACAGATCATCACAGAGAGCCAGCATGATGCAGTGGTTTGAATGTTGGACTACTATTCTAGAGAACAGGGTTCAAATCCCCACTCAGTCATTGAAACCCAGCACAGGCTATGGAGAATCACATTCTCTGAGCTTCAAATGAAGGCAAAGGCAACAAATCTTCCAAGAAAACCCTGTGATAGGGTCACCCATAAGTCAGAAACTACTTGAAGGCACACAACAACAAGATAATCAGAATACAGTATAACTAGGAAATTTGATTCCCCCTTCAACTTCTGTGGAGATTGCAGTTAAACTCAAACAGAGGAGTGTGTGTGTGTGTGTGTGTGTGTGTAGAGTGGCAGATGATGCCATAGTCCCTGCTAATCAAAAGGTGTCAGGGTTTTGTTTGTACCATTGCCACACTACCATATTCTGCCTAATAGTAGGACCGGCCCAGATAAGTGAGTGTGTAGAGCAGCAGAAAAGCAAGTCAGAAGTTGTTCGCTTCAACTAGGAAATGTTAGTTCATTTCCCAGCATAGTGTCAAAATACTTCACTTTTGGTCAGAGAAGACAGAGGAGCTGTATTCTATCACCATAAACAGTGAAAATATAGTACCATTGTGCCCTTCCTCAACAATCCTGGTCACCCTAGTATGTTGCCAGTCTCTGTGGATCACCTTCAATGTTACCACCTACCAATAGGAAAAACAAACCATTCCTTGTTTTCTTGCCTAGAGTTCCCCAGATGTCCCCATAATACATATGTATTGTGTGACTGGGTTGCCCTAGTTGGCAGAGTATAGCTGGGACAGTGTTTATATTGGAAGGAGAAGCTTCGTGAGATGCAGGAGAGTTATTGGAACAGTTAGTACCTCAATAACCTTGTAAAATCAGACCTTTGATAACTAGGATACCTGCCTCCTTCTCAGCCAATTACATCCCACAAGACCTGGTCCACAATGGGAATGGAGGCAATGTGTTTTTTCAGGATTTGCTCTGGTTTGTTCCATGCAGTGAATGGTACTATGCACGCAGCCCCTTCCTGAACAGAAAGCTGTGGTTGGATATCTTGGGCTCCCTCTACGAGTTAGATGGCATCATCTTCCATCTGGCACTCTGCAGAGCAGACCTGGATGCTGCATGGCCGATGGTCTCTGAGTGAGTAGCAGGAGGAGATGCAGGTTTTCTAGAATGAGAAGAGTCATGGATTCTCCACACAGTTTCTTCACATTCTGATTTAGGAGTAATATGGATTGGGGCCAGTGCAAAGGAGGGGTTTTGTTGCTGTCCCTCTTACACATTTTCACTATGAACACTGTTCTTCCCATTCTAAGTGGCCAGACGACATTTTAAAAAAAGTATGTTGGAGTGTTGAAAACTTCCAGGTTTGGGTAAAACTATTCTGCTATCTCAACAGTGAACAACTTGTGGCTCCTTCAGATTTTGTTGGACAACAGTGTCCATCAGCCCTAGTCTGCATAGCCAATGCTGAGAAATCCTAGGAGTTTCAGTCCAACACCATCTCAGATGGTCAAAAGTTACAACAAAATCTGCTTCTGTATTATTGATGCATACCTGCACACTGCAGCTCACTATTCTTCCCTTTTCCCCTTCATCATTGCTCTTCCCACTTCTCTGTTAATGCCTCCCTTTACTCTAATCTCTGTACCTTCTTTGCTGCCTTTTCCTCATACTCCCACTAGCCTGCATCTCCTTCTACAAATCCCTGTAGACTGTTGGCTATGTAACATACCATCCTCTTTAGTTTTTTTTTTTTTTTT